TGTGTATGTATGTGTGTGTGTCTGCCTGTCTTACAGCTGGGACGTCCCGGTCCATTATGGCTCGGAGAATTTCCATCCACTGAGTCATCACTGTGTTGTTGATCAGCTGGAGAGGCAGCGAGTACTGCAGGACAACAATGAAGGCAATGCTGTCATCATCACCATCATCAGTGACACTGACACACAGAGAGCCCTTTACACACATGTAATATGTAACAACACTGACCTCATCTACTGTTTCTGATTGAGTATTTTTAAAGTATTATTAAGTATATAAGTAGTTTTCATCCTGTACATTATTTGCCCATGGTTCTGTGTCTAAGCAAAAACAAGTTTTAAATTTGGTCCAGTATTGAGTGAGAGGGCTGCAGCCGGAAAATAGGCAGCATTGTAATCCTCATGGGCAATTTGCACCGTCGACTAAAGGGGCTTGTTCTTGCCACCAGGCTCAGATTGAAGAAAGATAGAGTTCTAAGAGAGAAGGCTGCATGAAAAATGTGAAAAACTTGAAATCCTTTGAGGAAGTTTTCTCCCTGATCAAAGCTGAGGTGGACACCAAGAGGTGCAATGTTCCGTGTGACAGTGAAGATGATGAAAGCCCAACAGAGAACCCCACCACCTTGTCCATCTCTGCCCCTCCCACACCTGCCAGCTCCACCAACCAGCTGAAGGAGAGTATGGCCCTGCTGGAGCTGGACTTTGCTGAATTCAAAGAGCTGACCCAGGCCAGGCTGTCTGCCCCCCTAGACAACATTGTGCAGCAGCTTCAAGAGGAGCTCCAGCAGCTCAAGATAGACAACCAGGCCTCGACATCTAAGCTAAGAGGAAGTGTAGAGGCACTAAAACAGGAGAACAGTGTGCTCCGGGCTCAGTTAGCCAAAGTGAAGGAGGACGCTGAGAACAGAGAAAGGAACTTCCTACACGTGGTTCATCAGAAACATAAGTTAGTATTCATGTAATCCATTACTAACCATAGGGCCAACTTAAGATAGTATTTTGGCTAGTGATAACATTAAGGTTGAGTGCAAGCAAGCTAACAGACTCTGTGTTCTGTGCGACTCTGTGGTTGGCACTCTGTGTTGCTGATCTGTGGTTGGGACTCCTGTGTTTGTGGACTGCTGTTTTGCGACTCTGTGTTGGACTCTGTAGGCTGCGGACTCTGGCTGGTTGGGCTCTGCTTGTGTGGACTCTGTGTTGGACTCGTGTCTGGACTTTCTGTGGTTGGTGGGGACTCTGTGTTCGGACTCTGTTGTTGGACTCTGTGCTTGTCGCGGACTCTGTGGTTGTGGAACTCTGTGTTGCGACTCTGTGTTGGACTCCTGTGTTCGGTGCGAGCTCTGTGTTGCGACTGTGCTTGGTGGACTCTGCTGTTTGGACTCGTGTTGGACTCTGTAGTGTTTTTGACTCTCTGTTGGACTCTGTAGTTGCCCGATCGGTGTGCTTGGTGCGACTCTTGTGTTGGACTCTGTAGTGTGTTTACATCTGTTGGGTTGTGCGACTCTGTTGGGTGGACTCTCTGGGTTTGGACTCTGTGTTGCGACTCTGTGTTGTGGGACTCTGTGTTGCCGCGACTCTGATAGTGGACTCTGCCTTGTTGGACTCTGCCTGTGTTTGCGACTTTTGTGTTGACTTTGGTTTCACTTCTGGCCTCACAGGTCTGACAATAAGCTTAATCTATTTTCTAGAAAAACAGGAAACACTTTAGTTTTTGGCACTTACAAAACAAGCCTGCACTGGACGTCACAGTCCAAACAACTTCAGTCCTCAGCAAAAGAGAAATAACTTGTAGGTTCGTCACATTATGGACTCACAGCGTCACAACGACTTCATAATTATGATTTCTTGCAAGCTTTTGGTCGTATCTCGGCTAACGTAATTCACAGTCTGTGATGACGTTTCCTATGAAACGCTAGAAACACGAACGACAGATACATAGGAACCGCTTTGTTGTACAATACCCATCAGACCTGTGTAAATTATGATTTATCTCACCCTGATTCATATCGTATCTTCTTAGCAGAGAACGACATCCAAAATCATGAATCCTAAAAGCCAGCACACCAACACATCTAGATATCCTTGAGAAAACACTAGCAGTTTGGTTATATGGTTCGCCGACGCATAGCAACAAAAAAAACAGAAATGCTCCTCAGTCTAACAGCGCCGCTTCCCAAAACTTCTTGCATTGCTACAGAGGCCAAATAAAACTCTAGCGGAATCGTTAAAGATAATTGTCTCTGGTAAAATACTCTTCAGCTTCGTGTGTTACCATTTTATAAAATACATCATACATAGGCCTGCACCAGATTGGGCTTATTTATAATATTCAGAGGTAAAAATACTAAATGCAGCACAAACACAATCTGGGTATACAGAAAAGAAACTGCTGGAATGCTCAGCAGGTTTTCATTTCGTTTTTTTGTGAACAAGCTATGCTTATTATCTTATTAGCCATATTGCTTAGACCGATAACGTCTCATATGCTGTATCAGTATGTTAATCTGCCGCAGGATAAATATACGTAAGAACATCGTCCGCACTTAAAGTGCTCAGTAAGCTCCACCCACAGCTTCCCAGCTCCAGAAATGTATGCAGGCGCATACCTTTAATTGTCGTAGGAGCCCTTGCCAGGGTAAACGTAAATGCTAGTTAGCCCTGAGTGCTAAAGCTCCCTATAACAACCCAAGTACCCCAAGGAAGGACGCCGGACCCGCCACATGGTCGCGAGTCATGAGCCAAGAGCAGGAGTCAGATGCAGATCATAACCGAACGAGTGTAAAAAGCAACGCAGGAGACCCTTTTGGAATTAAGTCTTTGTGGGGAAGAACAAGAGAGGCCAACAGTGAGTCTAGCAACCCCCAGAAGCACCCAGTTCACGGAGAGGATTCTGATATGTACAAGCCCGAACGGGGGAACAAACGGCCGGGAAACGGCGGCCAGGGAAGCAGCCCCGCGAGTGCATACGGCCGCTGGCAGCGAGCACAGGGGCCAGCGGAGCCGGCAGGGGGAGGGCGAAGGATGGGCGAGCTGCCGGCCCAACCCCTGCTGTGGGCGAAAAGAAACCCTGAGTCGGGACCTCATTTTTAGATAGATAAAATGAGGACAGGCTTACATCAGTTTTATTAAGAGTGTTGTTGTACACGGCAAAATAGTCCATAACAACAAATACAAATATTTTTTACTGTATGTTTTACAAAAAGTAGGTAAAAACTATACGCGCCCT